TTAGTATATAATACATAGTTATATTCTGGGCAGTTGGATATAAGCAGAGCTAAAAGTTTTGCTTATATGTATATATAGTACCTAAAGTATAACTAATTTATACTTTGTGATCTTAATATATATAGTGACCAGTATATAAAACAAGTTATATATTAATACAAAAGATATATATAGCCAGGTAATTATTAGGCTTGCAATTTTAAAATTAAATATTACAAGTATATATACGTATATATAGTATCTTGGATTTTTATTAGTAAAAATTTTGTATTAAAACACCAAAAAACTGTCAAAAAGTCAATAAAAATATATATATATACAGTATACTGTAGTATACAGTATATATATAGTAATTTTGATATTATTTTATTTGTCTGTTAAGTATTTTTTAGATAATTAATAGTTAACTAGTTATACAGTATTATAGTTAATTGTATTAAAAATTTAAACTAGTAAATAGATAGTAAATAGATAGTAAATAAATATATAAATAAATCTAAATTCAAATATCTAAAAGTTGAATAAAACTTAATAGATTAAAACTTAATATAGCATTTTATACGTATTTAAAAACTTATTCTAACTTCTCTAATCCAATTTTTGCAACTATCATATCCAAATATATATACAGTATATCTTTTAGCTTATATTATTTATATAATCCCCTGATCACTATATCAAGATCACGGAGGATTAATGAACAATATCCTGATCCATGTATGAATAAGCTCCGCTAATCCCCAATGGATCAGGATATTATTATTACTAATATAGTATGATAATATGACGTTGGAACAGTGATAATTTTTTTGATCAGTAAATGCCGCTTCGCGGCATTTTCTGAATAAAAAAAAAAATTATTGCTGTACCAATGTTTGATGTATCTCAGAATTATCATGCTATATTGGTATTATAGTACGGCGGTCATTGATCATATATATATATTTTTAAAACCTCTTAAATTCGTATAGTGCAATGCAATATAAGTATGAATGACGTGCTAAATAACAAGCATGAATGACGAAATAAAAAGAAAGTGATTTATAACATAAATGGTGTAATGATCAATACAGTAGTGGGCCGTGTTATAAATATATATATATAATATACAGTATATTAATAAATATCCAAAGTATATATATATATATTTAAGTTTTTGCTTGATTGACCAAGCACTATTTTTATGTCTACGTAGTAATTGCATAATTACATTATAGCACAATATTGTATATACGTAACCTATAATGTAGTTGGCAAACAAAACTATACGTATACGTACAACATTTTTCATAATAATATTATTACAGTGTACATAACACATAGTAAATGCCTAATTACGCCACAATTTAAACGATTTCCAATTCCTTACGTATCGTTTAAAAAATTTGCAGCCTATGGCTAAGTTTCTGAATTCCGGTAAATTAAAACAACGCCGAAAAAAAAGCAGATTACACTATGATAATTTTATGCACTATCTCGGGTTAATTTAAATTGAGGCTAATCGATAAATAATAAAATCGGATTCAAGATACTGTATAAAGATATATATTGTACTATCGCTACGTATAAAGATGCTAACAAACCTTTATACTGACAAATTGGTATATATTTTGTCGATCGAATATGTAATAAGGAAATTTTATAGTTACAAAAATAATACAGTAATACTCCTAAAAATTTATTGTATTACGCTCGGACTTGGTTCTGTTACACGATCTAATATTAAAACAACTAACATAACTTTAAGGTTGATAATCAAAAAAAATCGGGTGAAAAGTCATTGGAATAAAATAATAACTAAACTAATTTATCTACTTTATATCTACTTATTTATATATATATCAGTGTATATAAAAACCGATCACATGGTATTCAAACTCGATAACCATGGATGATTTTTGATTTCTTCTAAACTTGGTCTTCTTTCTGGCATAGCATGTAAGATTTTTTTAATCAAATCTTTTGCATCTTCACTAATAGACCCTCGTTTATCAGCCGTATTTGGATTCGGAAATTTAAAATCAGCTTTAATAATTTTAATGAAAAATTGTTTTCGTGTTTGACCGGCTTCTTGATTAAAGGGTAAATATCCTACCAATAATGCGTATAAAATAATTCCTAATGACCATATATCCGTTTTTCTACCATCATACGATGATGCAGATATTAATTCTGGTGCAGCATATTCTTCTGATCCACATCGAGTGGTTAAAAGTGGTGATTTTGGATTGATAAACCTTGCTAATCCAAAATCTGTTAATTTAATATGTTTTTTGTTTGGTGACGATTCCGACGATTCAAGTAAAATATTTTCTAATTTAAGATCTCGATGAACAATATTTGATTCATGAAGGTAACTAACGATATTGACTAATTCATAAAAAATTTGTTTAGCTTCTTCCTCGGTGATTTTTTCATAGTATTCATTTACATAATCAAATAATTCCCCGCCTGGAACATATTCAAGTATTAGACAAAGATGTGTGGGTGTCTCAACAGTATCTAGCAGACTAACAATGTTTGGATGATTGATATACTAATAATAAAAATTTTGATTCGATTATTATTATATATTCTTTATTAAAAATAAGTAATATTAGTATAAATATTTACCTCTAAAATTTTAATTTCCCGTGAAACACCTGTTTTCAAACACTCATTGTCTTGCATTTCTTTCAAGGAAATCATCTTAATTGCTACTTCTCTACAATTTTCTAAGTCTATAGCTAATTTTACTTCTGAAAAAGAACCAGTTCCGATAAGTTTCAAAACAGCGTAATGACCAATTAATTCAGAATAATTTTGCAGTCCAAGTTTCGTCAACCTTTGTTGTAACATATGATGACCAATTATAGGACCCATATCATCATTTGAATGGTGATTACCGTTACTTGTGTGATTTTTTGATGAAAGTTTGTTTATAAGTAAATTAGTATCCGATGTAGTACGATGATGTTGATAATTCTTGTTTCCAATGCTTAAATTAGATGAAATTTTCTCTCTGACTGTATATCGTTTAGATGTTGGAAAATCATGAACTGAGGTAGCAGGACTAGGTAAAGTAGTCATCGAATCATTATCTAAAGCTAAACGTTGATTATGGTCTTTTTTTTTTATTCCAGAATTAGACTGTGCACTTAACTCCTCGAAGTTGGTGCTAATCGGTGGAGGTGCCTTTTTAGCCGTTCCTGTCATAGTGACCTCCTTTGTTACATCGCCATCAACTGATGATGACCCATTTACATCATCATAATCATTATTATCATCATCATTTGAATCGCCTAATGTAACGAGGTGCCTTTTAGTTGAATTATCAGCGTAATTGGTAAATATTTGTTTCATCATTCTATTATCAGCGGCATCAGATGCGGAGGTACATCGAGTATTAACGAAAGGACAGGCTGATGAAGATATAGGAGGAGATGAAGTTGTAGATGGATATATTAAAGGGACCGATCCACCTTGAGAGTTGCTAGAAGTATGACGTTTTCTATTGTCCATCGTTGGGGAAGAATTCAAAATGGCTTTATCATAAGATCTAGGATCATTATTGGCAATAATGTTTTTTGACGGATCAGATAAAATTGGCATGCTTTTTAATGGATATGAAGTTTGATCTGTTGTTCTTTAATCGTGGAAACTTTCTTTTTTAAATGATAAGTTATAAAAATTCCAAATAGCTTCTCAGAAGCTTCTTGTGAAATCTAATATTTTTAAATGCCTAGCAAAACTTGATCAAGTAAATTTTCAAAAGAAAAAATAAATAAATAAATAATTAATTAAATTTTTTTTTTCTTTTTTTTTTTTTACCTTTAGTCGATAATATTGTGAAACAAAATATATTATTTTTTAATGAATAAATGACAAAATTTATAACTGATAATATATTATCGGGATGGATCTGATCGTCAAAACTTTTTTAAAGATCGCGTGAAAAAATATCAGAATGGTGAAAAAAAATTTAAAGGCGCGAATCAAATTGAAATATATAGTTTTTGTGTAATATATTGGAATATTCTACAGTGTCTTTTTCTTGTATTTTTATTTTTTGCTTCCAGTGGAATTTTATAATTTTCCGGTGGAATTCTATAGTAGTAAAAGTGTTCAGTGGTAAAACCAACTCCAGCAGCTTCTAGCAGCTTCCAATAACCTTTTCAGTAATAATATATGTTCTAGTAAATTTTTCTTATCTCTATTAAAGTTTTTTTTTTTCTTTTCTAATCGACTTCTTTACTGGTAAGCGCGGCAAAGAAAGTCAAGAAAAGTAAACCTTTGCTGATAACCAAAATCTTTATGAGAGTGAAGAGAATAAAAAGAAATTTTTTTTTATTTTTAATTCGTACAAGAGAAATAAATCTTTTTTTTTCAAAACGAGATTGTGAATTGGGGGAATTACATACATATTGAAAAGCTGTCCAAAATTGGAAATCAGTAGCAGCGCCATCATCAAAATGAATAAAATGGCGCTGGTACTCAAGTAATTATTAATTGGTTCAAAAATTCCATGTTGGCTAATTTCTGGTTCTACGCCTGAATTTTTAATCCAATAAAATTCTATAGAAATCCCATACGTTTCATTGTCAACATTTTTGACAATATCGAATATCAATATTGACAATGTCGAATATCATTATTGTCAATCAAACTGGTTAAGTTTAAAAATCTGTTACATAATCATATGGAAATTTTTATTTCAAAAATATTTGATATCGTCAAACAATTACAAAAAAAATGTTTACGTATTAATTCTTATTTCGGTAAAAACAGTATCGGTATCGGTATGGTTATGTATTAATAAGATCACAAATATTTTAATATAATAAAAATATATGTAGAAATACGTATTTAGTTTTTTATTAAGTATATATTTAGAACAAGGTTCGCAATAAAATATTAACCATTATTACATTCATCTTTTGAATTAAATGTCTAAATCAATAGGACAATATCTAAATAAATTATAATGATATATCACTTATTATATAATAAAAATAAAGAACTTAAAATTCGTCTCTTGTAGGTAATTTATATCCTTTATCCTTTGGCTTTGATGGTACACCAAATTCTTCTTCAAAGTCGTCGAGTAATTTATCCATTTCATCTTTTTCATCTTTTGTTTCTTTGACACCCTCCTTTTTCACTTCTTTCTTTTCTTTTACTTCATCTTTTTCTACTTTTGCTTCTTTCTCTTTTTCATCCTTAACTTTCTCTTTTTCATCCTTAACTTTCTCTTTCTCTTTTTCATCCTTAACTTTCTCTTTTTCTTTATCATCCTTAACTTTCTCTTTCTCTTTATCATCCTTAACTTTCTCTTTCTCTTTATCATCCTTAACTTTCTCTTTTTCATCCTTAACTTTCT